AAGAGGAAGGGGCTTATTTGAGGTGGTCCTCACCCCAGCTTCCTTCTCTCCGGCTGTTCCCTCTGCCTGGTACCCTCTCCCTCCTCTCTGCCTCGCCTGGCTGACTTCCACCTAACCTTCAGGTCTGGAAGCCTCCGCTGACAGCTGACAGCTGACCGGCAGGTCCGGATGGGGTGCCCCCCAGGTATGCCTGCCTCCAGGCTCCCTGCCCCTCACTGTCTTGTTATCACCTGGTTACTTGTCTGTCTTCAGCTCCATTGTGAGCTTTAGGTGTCAGGGGTGTACCCTCCTATTCCCACTGAATCCAGTGCCCACCCCATCTCGGCACACTGGATATTTGTGCACTGGGTGAATGAATGAATGAAACCACACAACGACTTAGTGGCTTGGCCAGAACCAGAACCTAGGCCTCCCTCTAGGGCAAGTGTTTAAACCCCGGGGGAACAGCCTCCTCCATTACCCCTCCCCCAAGTCTCGCCAGTACTGGATTCCTTCCCAGATGAGCTCAGGGAGGGGAACCTTAGGGCAAGGAGAGTCAGCCTGGGCTCTAGTCGCTGCTCTGCTATGCGTTAGAGGTGTGGCCTTGAGCCTCAGTCAATTGGGGACCTAACAGCAACTGCCCGAGGAAGGTCGGGCATACTATGCACGAAGGGAACGCTGTGCCTGGACAAGGTGAGCCTCAGTACCTGGAAGCTGCTTGTTGCAGGAACCAAGGCTTGGGGGGCACATCTGGATTCCCCTTCTCCCCGCTCAGGGTCCCGGGGCCTGGGCCTCGCCCCCTGCCCCAGCTCTCTGTTCTCCCACCGGACATGATTTCGCTTCCGGATGAGCTCAGTAATGCCTGGCCCATCCCAGGCACCCCGGGAGAGCCTCTGTACTCGCTGACCCAGTCACCTCTCTCCCCGCCAGGCCGGCTGCCCCGCTCCAGGCCCCCAGCCGTGCCCACGCTGCTGCTTTATGCCAGACTCCCCACATCTGCTCATCCCCGTGCCTTTCATAGCTTTGCAGACACCCCGGAAGTGGGGATGGGGCACAATGGCTCTGCCTGCCATGCACACAGTCACTCCAAAGCAGTGACAGCCTTTCCCTGTGGGGCACTGAGCCCAAAGCCCGCCCTTGGTGGAGGGTGTGCCCACTGCTCCAACCCTCCCTGACCGCCTGGCAGCTTCACCCAGACGGCAAGAAATGCAGCTGAGGAAAAGGTGCAGACACAGAACTGTTGCAAAAATGCATCTACACTTGACGTCTGTCCCCTTTGAGGCGGGGCATTCGCTCCTACAACAGTGCCGAGGTGGAAGGAAGGGAAGGGACACGACTGCGTCCCCGCGGTCGCCACAGCCCTCCCCATGTGAGTCATCACGCGCCCTGGTCTCCGCCGTCCACCCGTCTGTCTCTTTTCCCCTGAGGACACTGAGCTGCCCAAGCTCTCCCAGGTGGAAAGTGGTGATGGCTCAGAGCACTGGGAGCCCCGCTGCTCCCAGGCTCGAGCCCAGACCTCTCAGAGTGGCCGCAGGCTCTCCTTGACCTGGCCTTGCCTGCCTCATCTCTTCTGCTCGCTTGAAAATCGACTCCCACATTCCATGCTCCCCACTCTGAGCTAATGCAATCCCTTCACATTGACCTCACGTCATTCAACATATACACCAGGGATTAGAAAAGGACACAGATCCTTGCCCCCAGGAGCTCATCTTCCAGTGGGGAGGCAGACAACGAACAGTGGTATCCATGAGTGTACGATGCATGGGGAAACAGAGAACAGGATGAAGGGGATGGGAACGGCCAGGGGAGGGTGGGCAGTATTAAAGTGGGGGGTCGCATAAGCTTTATTAGGAAGCTGAGATTCCAGCAGAGACTTGAAGGAGGTAGGGAGTCAGGCACGCGGGTTGCCCCTTCTAGGCAGAGGGAGCCACTGTGGGCAGGGTCCTCGGGAGGGAGCGTGGCCGCTGTGTTCAAGGAACAGAACAGCATGGAGGCCATTGGCTGGGGTGGAGGGAGTGAGCGGGAGAGGATAGGAAGCGAGGCTGCGTGGGGATGGTCATGGGGGTTTCGGGACTATGGAAGGACATTGGCTCTTACCCAGAAGCAGACAGGGAGAGCGTGAGGAGAGGAGTGACACTATCAGACGCCAGGCACCCTGCGGACCAGCTGCTGGTGGATGAGAGATCGCAGAGGATGAGGGTGGAAGTGAGAGAATGATGTGGGGCAAGCAGTAGCCCGGGAACAAGGAGGCGATGGTGGCTCAGACCAAGATGGCAACCCTGAAGGTGGCCCACGTGGTTCTAAATATTCCCCCTCTCATCTTTGTCTTTTTTTAAATGTGTATATTTTACTGAGGTATTTTATAAATATAGAATCTAAATATATTTTGAAGGTGCCAACACATTAGATGCGGGATATGAGAAAAATAATTTGACATGCATGTTTTTGGCTTGGGGGAGGGGCAAACATGGAGGACGGCCCTTCAGCTGATCTGGGGGGAGACTGGTGGCAGTGGCGCTTTCGAGCAGGTTTGTTGAATCACCTTCCATCCCTCTACCTCACTTGGTATCCCAACTCCCCCCTTATCTTCAGCTCTCAGGTGAGACGTCAGACCCTCAGCATTCCTCGGGGAATGCTGACCCCCTGCCCCGATGGTGGTCATGGCTCCCTGAGCCGACCCCAATTCCAGCATCTCCCAGCCTGCCTTGTAATCACCTGCTGACTTGTGTTCTGCCTGATCTGAGAGCAACTTGGAGTCAGATGCAGCTTTATTTCTCTGCTTTAGCACAGGGCCTGGCTTGCAGCAGGCCCTTGATGTGGATTTGTTGAGGGGATGAATGATCACCCTTCCAGGAGAGTGGGCTTTCCCAGTGAAAGCCAACGACATCCCTCCACAGTCCCATCACCACCCTGTCCTCCCAGAATCAGGGCATCGATGGGACCAGTTCGATACCACCACGGGCCCCATTTTACAGATTAGAATCGGAGGGCCAGGTAGTGGACCATGGCCTGGATCTCACACTGAAATCCCTGCCTCCATGCTGAGCCCAGCTCTGGCCTCTCTCCCTCAACTGTGTCATTTGGCCAGTCCTGAGCTGGTCTCTGTTGTGGTCCGGAGTCCCCAAGGAGGGGAGGTGCCTGGCTTGGGCCCAGCCACCCTGGTTCCATGCCTGCCTTTCCATGGTCACTCCCCTCACCGCCTTTTACAACATTAACCGTGATGCCCGTCAACCCCAAGCTTCCTTCTGCAGTAGTGATTACTACAGCACGTGGGCAGGTGGGAAAAGAGACCAGTTTCCCCTGTGACCTGCCAGTTGAGCCAGGCAGAGCCCCGGAGCCCTAGTTCCCAGACCCTCTGCTGACCACCCACCTCTGGCTTCCCTTTCTGTCTTCTCACCCGTGACAGCGTCACTCAATCCAGATTGTAAGTGCCTGAACTTGAACTTCTAAAAGCTGCTCTGGCTCTCAACTTTCTCCCCAGGATACTTACACCTGATTCTCTGTTTGTTTTCTTTAAACCTCTGAATCCCTACTGCCCAGCTCTGTGCCTGCCACCTAGCAGAGGCTCAATGAACTTTTGTTGGATGACTGAGTGATTACAGCCTCTGTGTGTTCTCCGGTATTGCATGAGGATGGCCTTTCTCCTCCCAAGCCTGTCAGGTAAGGGGCAGGGCACGTCCACGCTATTCATGTGGCTTCCAAGCTCGGCACAGTGCTGAGAACCCCAGAGCCTCGGGTAGTGAAGACCAACGACATCAGTGAGTTACACCGCATGGCAAACCACACCAAAACAATGACATTAAACAGGCCCATTATGTAGCTTGCACTTCTGCAAGGTGGTGGTTTAGCTGGGGCTCAGCTGGGCAGTTGTTTTGGTCTCAGTGAGGTTCTCTGGTGTCTGTGGTCAGCCATGAGCTGGCTTTGCTGATCCCTGCCTAGTGCTCTCACAGGTCTGAGGTCCTCAACCAGCCAGCTGGCCTGACGACCCTGATCTAGGTGGACTCCTGCCCTCCTGCAGATGGGCCCAGGGTGTTTCTCATGGCAGTGGCAGGCGTTTCCGAGAAAGAGGGGATGTGCGTTGGGCCTCCAGAGGCCTTGCTGGCGAACTGGTGGACCATCACTTCCACCATGTTCTATTGACCGCAGTAAGTCACAAGGCCAGTTCAGAGTTCAGATTCAGGGGTGGGGAAAACAGTCTACCGCTTGATGGGAAAAGCTGAGCATTACATTGTGAGAGGTGAGGATACAGAGAGGTAAGAACAGTTGTGGTCATTTTTGCAATCTACCCCCGGGCATCAGAACGATTAGTAACCACCCTGACTGGATCACTTTAATATTTATTAGAATTTACGCCTTATAACCAGGGGCTTCTAAATGTGGATCGAAATCTTGGATACCCTCAATTCCTTCTCCCTTGCCCTCTTTCTTCATTTCTTTGTTATCTTCCTGGCATGACATCCAGGTGGCAGCCGTGGGAGCTGATGTTCTCATGCTCTGTCTCCTGGGAGGTGAAAATGGCATCGACTTTTTCCTACCTCGGGGTTTTCTGGAGAAGGCAGAACTCCAGCAAATGAGAAACAGAGTCCAAGTGTGCTTCTCGGGTCCTTGGCATGTGGCTGAGACCTTGTTTTCCAGGATCCCTGCTTGGCTCCGGCTGGATCTGGGTTGTGGGTCTGGTTCCCAAATCCATCCTGTATCCTGATTTTGAGGTGGGGATGGAGGGAGAGTTTAAGGCAGATCCTGGGGCCTTTCCCCTCCTGGAAATTTCCTGGGGTGGGGGTAGGCGATATCTCTCTACCCTGTCACCTTGTTTTATTGCTTCCTAGCGCTTACTGCTATTGGAATGTACTATTTATGTGTATGTTTATGGTCTGTCTCCCTCCATAGAAAGCCAGGATTCTGTCTTTTCCACTGTTGATCTCCAGCCCTCTGATGCCAAGTGACAAAGGAGTATCCCAGACCAGACCGACCAGGGACCCGTGGCCTCACTAGCATTGGAGTTTGCGCCTGCCGCAGCAGGGCTAGCTGGAGAAAAACTGCTTGAAGTTTGGGCAGGTTCTCTTTGAGGCGGATTGCGTGTCACACTCGCAGGCTCTTAGCCCACAGAGGCAGCTGACACCAGGACCAAGGGCGCATTCAACTGAAGGGAGACAGAGGGTCACAGGGGGCTTCCATCCACTCCCAGGGTTTGATTCTAAAGTTGGGGAGAGCTGGGAGCTCGCTGCAAGGGGTCAAGGGTTGAAAATAGAAAGGAAAGGAACTGGGAGTTCTTTTCTTTTGTCCCCAAGCCGTTCCCCCACCACACCGGGACATGCCCCAAGAAGAAGCCTGGAAGGAAGCGAGAGAAGGAGCAGGTGTGGGCTGCACGGAGGGGCCCTGGGTTAGTGCTGCCAGGCAGCACCCAGGCCAAGGACACGAAACATATTTTTTCAGAACTCAGCCCCTCCTTCCAACAGCTTACCTGGCATCTCACCTGGATGTCGCAGGCATCTTCAATGTAAGACTCCCCAAAGAAAGCTCTTGATGTAAGGGTCCCTTTCCGGCCCCCAGCCCACTGAGCTGGTCCTCCACCCACACTCTCGGCTTGGGAAATGGCAGCCCCTCCCACTCAAGCCAGAAAACTAGCAGCAACCTTGATCTCTACCCCCCTTTCAATTTCACAGCCCATCCACCCAAAGTTCCATTGATGTCTCTATGTTTAGCATATTTCACTCCGCCCTCTTCTCTCCATCTTCTTGGCCACAATCCCAATCTCTGTCATCACCAGCAATTCCACCCTAATGGAAGGAAATAAACAGGGACTGTCTTTAAAATTTTTTTTTTAATTTTATTTATTTTTGGCTGCGTTGGGTTTTCATTGCTGCACACAGGCTTTCTCTAGTTGCGGTGAGCGGGCTTCTCTTGCACTGGCTTCTCTTGTTGCAGAGCACAGGCTCAGTAGTTGTGGCGCACAGGCTTAGTTGCTCTGCGGCATGTGGGATCTTCCCAGACCAGGGCTGAATCCCTGTCCCCTGCATTGGCAGGCGGATTCTCAATCACTGCACCACCAGGGAAGTCCGAGATCGTCTTTAAATGTAACTTGAATTAGGATCACTCTGTTGCTGAAATCCCTGATGTGGTTTCCTACTATTTGGGCAAAGATATCCCAAATCCTTGCCATGGACTCCGAAGCAGGCTTGCCATGATGGGGTCCCCGCCAACCTCTCCATCCTCACAGACCTCCACTCTCTCACCTTCACTCTGCTCCAGGACCAATGGCCTCTTTATGTCACATATTTTGTTTGATCTTGTCCCAGGGCCTTTGCACTTGCTATTCTCTTTGTCTGAAACACTTCTCTCCAGGATTTTTAAGTGGCTGGGTCCATCCCACCTTTGGGTCTTGGTCAAATTTCCTCTCTTCAGAGAGGCTCTCCCTGCCCACTCCTTCTAAAGCTTCTCCAGCCACTCTCTCTCACATCCCCATTTGTTTGATTCACCATACTTTTCATATCTCTTATTTCTCTTATTTGTTTACTTGCTTGTGTCTGTTTCTCATCAACAAAGTGTAAGCTCTGTGAGACTGGGGCGTTTTCTGTCCTGTCCCTCCCAGTATCCACAGCTGGGATACTATGCTGGCACATAGTAGGTACTCAATAGTCATTGAATAAGTGAATGAAGTCTCAGTGGGCCTTTGGGATTGAGTGTCTGCACTGTGGCCAAGTGACCACTAGGTGGGCATCTTTCATTTAGTAGTCAGAGTTATAGTGCTCTGTGCATGGGCGCATAAGCATGTGCGTGTGCGTGCGTGCGTGCTTGTGTGTGTGTGTGTGTGTGTGTGTGTGTGTGTATGTGTGTGTGTGTGTGTGTGTAGGGGACGTCTAAGGCAGCCTCCTTCTAGATAACTCCACCCCAGTTCCACTCTCTCTTTTTTTTTTTTAATGAAAGCTTATTTATTTATTTATTTATTTATTTATGGCTGTGTTGGGTCTTCGTTTCAGTGCGAGGGCTTTCTCTAGTTGTGGCGAGCGGGGGCCACTCTTCATCGCGGTGCGCAGGCCTCTCACTGTCGCAGCCTCTCCTGTTGCAGAGCACAAACTCCAGACACACAGGCTCAGTAGTTGTGGCTCACGGGCCTAGTTGCTCCGCGGCATGTGGGATCTTCCCAGACCAGGGCTTGAACCCGTGTCGCCTGCATTGACAGGCAGATTCTCAACCGCTGTGCCACCAGGGAAGCCCTCCACTCTCGTTTGAGGGTTGGGGGGGAAGTGAGGAAGTGAGGTGGCCAGACTCCCTGATGTGTTGGTCCTGGGCAAGTTAGTTTCAGTATCATTTATAAAATGGTGATAGGGCTTCCCTGGTGGCGCAGCGGTTAAGAATCCGCCTGCCAGTGCAGGGGACAGGAATTCGATCCCTGGTCCAGGAAGGTACCACATGCCGCAGAGCAACTAAGCCCAGGTGCCACAACTACTGAGCCTGCGCTCTAGAGCCCGTGAGCCACAACTACTGAGCCCGCATGCTGCAACTACTGAAGCCCGCACGCCTAGAGCCCCTGCTCTGCAACAAGAGAAGCCACCAGAATGAGAAGCCCGTGCACTGCAACATAGAGTAGCCCCCGCTCTCCACAACTAGAGAAAGCCTGCGCACAGCAACGAAGACCCAATGCAGCCAAAAATAAATAAAATAAATAAAATTTTTAAAAATGGTGACAAAAGCGATAGTATCAAAAGTAAATAATGGCGTCTACTTCACAGGATTGTTGTGAGGATTTTCACTGTTGCCGTTACAGATGGAGTGGTCTGGATGTGCTCAGAACAGAGAGAGGCCTCTATAAATGCTTGTTATTATGACAATGGTGCACCCTTAGCTTCACATGTTGGATAAAGAAGGGCCCTTTGAAGCTGGACCAGTGCTGGCTATCGTCTGTTTGTTTGCCTTTCCCCCTCTCCGAAGTCTACAATTCCTGCAGGAAGCTGTCCTCCCACATCTCACTGGAGCCTGGATTTCTCAAGACATGTTGACACCCACCCTACGCCTCAGCTGTACCTCTCCACTCACCCTCAGGAAATGTGCCAGGGATGGTTCCTGCCGCTCCCACTGTTCCTGGTGCCTGGATCACCTTTGCCTTCGCGCTCTCCCTTCTCCATCTGTGACAGTCCTTCAAGACCCATCAGGCCCCAGCTCCCGCAGGGACTCCCTGAGAACCTCCATCCCCTCCATGTCCAGGTCTCTCACCTCTGCCCAGCATGCCCCTTGCTGCCCTCCCCCGGCAGCCGCCATGGCCTGCAGGGGCTCACCGGGTTGTTTGGCTGCTGCCCTTGGTGGGGTCCAGGGCTACTTGGGCACAGGGCCATGCCCCATCCAACCTCGCTTCCCTCCCAAAGGGCCTGGCACCTGGTGCTGTCACTTACCCGGATGCTGCTTCTCTGGAAACTGGAAGCGAGGCGCTTTTCTCACCCTTTCCTCTTTCGCATACTTCTCCCTTCCCGTTTATCTCTGTTTCTTGTTCCTAGTCTGTAACATCTCTTCTTTCTTCCATCTCAATTCACCAAGCCTCCTTCCTTTCTCACCACCCCCTTTCCGGCTTTGTCTTCCGCTCTTTTCCAAAGCGCGGAGTATAATTCTCTCCTGCTGTCTGGTCCTACGTCTAACAGCTTGCGCAGGGTGCAGGCCGTCAGGACCGACCTGGAGCAACGCTCTATTGCCGTGGACATCCCACCGCCGTTGTGGCATCAGGCCAGTCATGGGCTGGAAGAAGAGGCAGCCCTGGGCCAAGAAATGCCATGTTTGGAAGGTCATCTTTTAAAAACAAGCCCAAACCCAGATCCTGCATCTTCCGATTTGCTGATGGGGAAACTGAGGCATGAAGAATGGAACTGACAGCTTTCGGATATGTTTTCTCATTCCATGAAATATACCTCCACCAATGAGACAAAGCAAGAAGGTCTACGTTCCTGCCTGGGCTAACCCAGACTGCCTGCCACGCTGCTACTGGCTGTGCCCGGCCTCCGACCTGGTCTCTAAACCCTCTCCTTGGGAGCTCTTGTTTTGAAGCTCAAGGCTCTAAATACCACCGAGCACTGCTGACTCTCCACTTCTCACCTCAGCCTAGACATCTCCTTTGAGCTCTAGATGCCAATAGGCTTGTGTTCACGTGACTCCCTCTTGAGTGTCTGATATGCATCTCAAACCCAACATGGCTCTTCCAGGCTCTCTCTGTGTCTGCAGAGTCTGCTCTCCCCCATCTGCACAAGCTCGTAGATGCACCACCATCCATCGCTGCTCAGACCAAGAACCTCAGAGTCAGCCTCCCTTACCTTCAAACCCCACATCTAATCCATCAGCAGGTCCTATCAATCTACCCCCCAAACACACGCAGCATCTGGCGCTTCTCCCCAGCTATCGACCTGTGCAATGGTCGCTTCTCCTGAAACACCCCACTAATGGCTCCCCGTTTCTTCCCCTGCTCCCCAACTTCTCTGTACAGGGGCCAGAGTGATACTTCTAAAGCAAAACCTGAGCAGATCACTTCCTGCTTTAATGCTCCCCCTGCAACCGAAGGAGAAGGTGAGTCCCTCACCCCATGGCCAGGCCCCACCGGACTCATTCCTGTTGGGCCCCCCCCAGCTCCTCGTCTCCTTCCGCACTAGCTAAATGCCACCTCCTTAGAGAGGCCTTCTACAGCCACATAAAGTAGCCATCCTCCCCGCGCACCCACACCCCCTGCCCTTCTGCCCGCTGCCATGCTCATCCTTTAGCTTGTGGCCTTATTTTAGATGCTTCATAGCACTTGTCACTACCTAAGTGTATCTTTCTTTCTTTCTGAATATTTTATGGGCCGTCTCTCTCCCTGCACACAGGCAGGGAGTTTGTCTTTTCATTGCAGATCTTCAGCCCCAGACACGCTGTAAACGCTCCATCCCAGTTTGCTACTGCCTTACTGGCTGGGCTTACACGGCCTGCGGGGCAGTGAATGAAGCCCCCATCCCAAGAAACAGGGAGTCGGTTTCTCAGTCCAGATCTGCCACCTGCATGTTCTAGCAGGGCAGGCAAGTTGTTCCTCTCTGAGCATCTTCCCTCGGCTTTCAGGTGAGCGTACGGGTGCTTGCATTGACTATTTCATGATTTTTTTTTCATTCACTCACTCATCAAACAAACAGGTATTAAGTTCCTAACCCGTGCCTGCCCTTTGGCTAGGAAGTGCGGAGGTACAGGTCTGAGCGAGTGGACCCCACACTGCATAGCTCTGGGCATCCTCTGTGGCCTTATGAGGATAAGTGCCGCCCCCAACAAGTGCTCTCCGCTCTCCTGGAATTCACATTCCAGTCGAGGGGAGAATCAATGCATAAATAAACAAATAATCAAACAAGAAAATGAGATGATGTCAGGTTGAGACAGATGCTAGGAGAGGAAATGGGTGATGTGTCAGTGAGCGGAGGTGTTGTGAGGAGGAAACTCAGTAGCAAAGGAGAAAGATCTTTGCAAACTACAAATTCCAGTGGTTACCTGCTTCACCCTCCCCCTTCGGCAGAGGGAGAAGTCACAGGCTCAGAGATGGAGGTGACAGTGGTACCTCTGGCTGGAACCTGGGCTCTGCTGCCCACGGCCGGGCTCCCTGCTGCACTACAGATGCATTCATGTGGGGGTGGAGGGGGCGTCACCACTGGCAGATCTTAAAATCCCTTGCGAATGCCCAGGA